TATTATATTGATTTTGAATTTTTATTACTGTCATAATACATAACAATAAACTTTTAACTTTTCTAAAAAAAAATTTAAAAAAGGAAAATTCGTTGTAAATTGTCGATAAGTATCAGTGTCCAAGGAATGATACTATCATAGCCCTTTTGGCAAAAAAAAAAAAAGGAATGATACTATCACATAATCCCGTCGTACATAACACAGGAGATAATACTAGTTTTTAATTAATAAACAGTGTGTCAGTCATATTTTCACTCTACAATTTTGCATGCTCGTATATGTTATCGGGCCATAGAATTGGGCTTTATGTTAAAAGGGCTTTAATAATAGAAAGACATGCGTGTCCAAAGAATGTTTACCATCACATAATTCGATTTGTCCTCCTATATATAAAGTGATAACATCAAAACCCTAGTTTCAGTCTTTGCCGCTCTCCGCCGTCTACCTCCAGAAATCGACATCAACGATGGTATGTCGGTTTACGCCTTCTACCACTTCTCTCTTTTGGATGTGTTAGTTGCTTATGTCGTACTCTATCTTGTTTGTTCTTTAACCAATCTGCAATGGTCCCTGGATTCTTTCTGTTTGAATCTGGTTAATTAGCATATGATTAGTACATGAATATTCTGGTTTTGCTTCGCTTCGCACTATGATTCCAATGCTTAGCTTCGTTTGTTTGATGTGTTTCTGCGACATTTTTGTTTTGAATGGTAGGCACCCAAAAAGGGAGTGAAAGTGGCTGCTAAGAAGAAGACGGTAATGATCTATCTTGTTTCCTTCAAGCATCATTTAGCATTACGTAACACTCTGTCTTATTCGATTTGTGTTGGTTTCTTTCTTTATAGGAGAAGGTTACGAATCCATTGTTCGAGAGAAGGCCAAAGCAATTCGGTATCGGTGGTGCTTTGCCTCCTAAGAAGGACTTGACTCGTTACATCAAATGGCCTAAGTCAATCCGTCTTCAGAGGCAGAAGCGTATCCTCAAGCAGAGGCTTAAGGTCCCCCCGGCTTTGAACCAGTTCACCAAGACTCTTGACAAGAACCTTGGTACGTATCTTTGTTCAACATTGTTTCTCTTTTGTTTGAACGATTAGTTAGATGCATGACTCAGTACTGGGTATTCTTAATTTGCAGCGACCCAGCTGTTCAAGGTTCTTATGAAGTACAGGCCTGAGGACAAGGCTGCAAAGAAGGATCGCCTTTTGAAAAAGGCTCAAGCCGAGGCTGATGGAAAGCCTTCTGAATCCAAGAAGCCTATTGTCGTCAAGTATGGCCTCAACCACGTCACTTACCTCATCGAGCAGAACAAGGCACAGCTTGTCGTCATTGCACACGATGTTGACCCCATTGAGCTGGTCGTCTGGTTACCTGCTCTCTGTAGGAAAATGGAAGTTCCTTACTGCATTGTCAAAGGCAAATCTCGTCTTGGAACGGTAAATAGAATTCGCCGCTTTATGCATTTACACTTATCTAGTATTTTATCCTTTTATTTTACTCTTACACCTTTGATTGATGTTCATTTCTCGTATCTATCTTGCAGGTTGTTCACCAGAAGACTGCTGCTTGCTTGTGTTTGACCACTGTCAAGAACGAGGACAAGCTCGAGTTCAGCAAAATTCTTGAAGCCATCAAGGTAAATATAAATAGGATGGCTCAACTTAAAGTTCTCGTTGAGATTGACTTTATCTAAAACGTGTTTTGTTTTTTGGTGGGGCGAATAGGCAAACTTTAACGACAAGTACGAGGAGTACAGGAAGAAGTGGGGAGGAGGGATAATGGGATCCAAGTCTCAAGCCAAAACCAAAGCTAAGGAGAGGGTTCTTGCCAAGGAGGCTGCCCAGAGAATGAACTAAGCAGAGTTTCTCGTTTGAGAAACATAATGAGGATTATGGTTTTGTTTAGCGATTTCGTTGGATATTTTAAAACGTTGTGCTCTTACTATCTATGTTGCACACTTCAGGATTTTATCCAGTTTTTGTTTGACATTTTACCTTTGAGATTATCTACTTATTTACTGATATTTGTTCCAAAAAAAAATTTTACTGATATTTGTTTCCAAATTAAAACCATCTTTAGAGTTAATAATTTGTCCCGGTGATTATAATGCTTTAACTTAGTTGCATGCAACTGTAGTGGTTTTAGACAACAAAATTTTGTTGAAATGAGCAGGGTGGTCTTGTTTGAAAATAGCATCCGTCTTGTGATAGTTAAAGTAGTCGTGTTACCAATATAGGGCATCTAATGTACATCACAAATCTATGTCCTCGGCTGGGAAAATAGGCATTTTAATCCCCAATTATTTGAAATCGGCAGTTTTAATACCCAAGTATTGGTTGCGCAGAATTATTCCCCAACTAATAGTTGACTGCGCGAAATTATAACATAATCAACCGTTAACTGATTAAAAGAGAGATGACGGTTTCCGTCAACACTATGTTGGTCATAATTTTGCGCAGTCAACAATTAGTTGAGGAATAATTCTGCGCATATGATACTTGAGTATTTAATTTACCAATTGAAAATACTTGAGGAATTAAAAACAAGAATCTATGTTTGTAAAATAAAATCATAATTCAAAAAAAAGAACAAGAATCTACTTTCAAATTATGATATCTTTTCATTTACCGACAAAATATTTGAAGAGTTAAAAACAAGAATTCTTTTTTAAATAAAATCATAATTTAAAAAATTTCAAGTTAGATATAATCAATATATGAGATTTTAATGACTTTACATACATGAATTATATCAATAATACAATGCAACTATAGTTTATATATTCTTATACAAGTAAATGTAAAAGTTCCAAAATCTCATTTTAAAAGTAAAAATTTCATATATTGATCATATCTAACTTGAAATTTTTTAAATTATGATTTTATTTTACAAAAATAAACTCTTGTTTCTAATTCTTCAAATATTTTTAATCGTCAAATTAAAAATGTTATAATTTTAAATCTTTCTTGTTAGATATAACCAATATATAAGATTTTAACTAATTTTACAAACATGAAATGTATCAATAATACCACAACTATAATGATTTATATTCTTAGAGTAAATGTAAAAGTTCAAAAATCTCCTTCTAAAAGTAAAAATCTCATATATTGGTTATATCTAATTTGTTTTTTTTTTGGAATCATGATTTTTTTTTACAAAAATAGATTCTTGTTTTTAATTCCTCAAGTATTTTCAATCGGCAAATTAAATACTCAAGTATTATATACGCAAAATTATTCCCCAACTAATACTTGACTACGCAACATTATGATCGGCATAGTCAACCATTAAAGAGTTGACGGAAACCGTCATCTTCCCGTTAACCAGTTAACGGTTAGCTATGTCGATCATAATTTTGCACAGTCAACTATTAGTTGAGGAATAATTTTGCGTGACCAATACTTGAGTATTAAAACTGCTGATTACAAATAGTTCAGGATTAAAATGCCCATTTTCCCCTCCTCGGCTCACTAATAGGTGAACATTTTTTTTTCTTTTGACTAAAAAAATAGGTTAACATTTATCCAAACACCTACCTCCCAAATAAATTAAAGCGCAAAACCAGAACACAATTGACTCTTAGTGGAATGCTTCAAACCCATATTAGGTTGGTTTATTTATGGGAAAATTCTTTAAAAATACACGGACGGACTGATTTATATTTACTAATGAAATACACAAATTATTTGGATTTCTATTTAATACACGAACAAATTTCTGTTATCTATTAAATACACAAACTATTAAGATTCACAGATTTTACACATCGTTTTAGACAGTGTTAACTAGCAACGGTGTTACTTTGTTTAAATTATGAAAATAAATTTTCTTAAAAATACTCGAACTAATTTTTATTTGCTAAAAAATATATTAACTATTTTGGATCCCCGTTTAATACACAAAATAATTTCTGCTCTTATTAAATACACAAATTTTTCAAATTTGCAGATTTTACTCATCGATTTAGACGATGTGAACTATGTTTAACTTTAACATAATTTAGACGATGTCAACTATGTTTAACAGAAGTCGAGACGATTTTAGTGTTTAAATAAACATGTGATTAATCTGTAAAGAAAAAATTCCTTGAAAATCCTACTGGTAAATTATATTGTTAGCTTTTTTTCTTCTCTATTACGCGTTCATAGTGTAAATTAACTTCGATTGAATCATTATCACTACAATCAAAGCAAATAGTAAGAATAAGAAACACATAACACTAAATTAATTACAAAATCAAAAATTCGTTTAAAAGTACTTAAATTTTCTTCGTCCTTTTTCACGACATGGAAATCGACTTCACTTTGAAATGATATAGAGAAAAATTAAAGAAAAGGAAAAGAAGAAGATTTTAAAAGTTTTGAGAACAAAAGAGGTTGGAACATGGTTGACGTTGTCTAAATCGATGTGTAAAATCTACAAATTTTAAAAGTTTGTGTATTTAATGGGAAACAAAAATTAGTTCGTGTATTAAACAGAGATCCAAAATAGTTAGTGTATTTTTTAGTAAATAAAAATTAGTTCATATATTTTTAAAGAATTTTCTTTTCACAATTTAAACACATGTCTAGTTAAATACTAACGCCGTCGCTACTTATGTTAAACATAGTTAACACCGTCTAAACGCTGTATAAATTTTACAAATTTTAAAAGTTTATGTATTTAATAGGTAACGTAAATTAGGTTTTATATTAAACGAGAATCCAAAATAGTTCGTGTATTCTATTAGCAAATGTAAGTGTATTTTTAAGGATTTTTTCCTTTATTTTTTTTAATTTTTTTATCCAAACATCAACTCAAGGAATCTGGTTCTGATCAGGATCATTTGATCCTAATAATGTTCCCAAATATCAGAAACCAAAGCACAGACTGGTTCACTGAACCAAAAACATTAGTTAGTGATCCTTTAAACCCACGGACAAATTAGCTCCAAAGGGGTCACGGATTAATCAATTGTTGAGAAGAGAATCTTAAAAAAAACAAAACATAAAGTTCAAACTCTCAATCATAGCTTTATACCGACACAAGGAGTTAACCAAGATTGACCACAAACACGCAAGAAGCGAATCAGTGCACACACACAATAATTAAGTTTTAATGGCGGGAAGTTAAGAGAGACGAACCAGCCACGGATGAAAGAGGAGCAACCAGAGTCAGAATCTTGGTAATGATGATGATGATCCTGCTGGTAGTGGTTGTAGTGTTGCAATGATGATTTGTCTTGATGATAATTCTCCCAAGAGATTTATATCAATCCAACGATGATGATTTGTTTCGACAAGGACCAGAAAGCATATCCAAAAAGCTTTTGTTTAATTCACCGCTAGATAGCATATCTATAACCAACTTTACAGTGGAAGCATCCGCTGAGAATCCATTACTCTTCATTTCTTCGAAGAGCTTAACTGAATTGTTTATGTCACTACCTCTGAGATGAGCTCGGACTAGTGTGTTGTAAGTAGAATCATCTGGCGCAATCCCATCCTCTCCCATATTTCTAAACAACATATTTGCTTCAGACAGCGAGCTTTGCTTACATAGTCCTCCAATCATTACAGTGTACGTTTTGACTTCAGGCTTCACTCCTTTGAGAGGGAGGCTACAGAATAGATCCCAAGCATCATCGACCTTATTTGCATTGCACATCCCGTGAATTATGATATTATATATACCAATATCAAGTTCTGTCTTACTCTTGTGCATTTTTTCAAGTATTCCCAAAGCCTCGTCTAGTTCCCCATTGTCACACAACCCATCCATCAAAATTTTGTAGGTCACAATATTAGGATGAACACCTTGAGAAACCATCTCTTGGAAGAGTTTTTTGGCCACATTAGGTTTTCCCGTTTGACAAAACCCTTGGATGAGAGCGCTATACACGACTGTATCAGCAACCACTCCTCTCATAGACATTTTGCGGAAAAGTCTCATAGCTTCATCAACCAGTTTAGCCTTACAATATCCGTTTATAAGGATACTATAAGTCACGATACTAGGATCGCATCCTTTGCTAACCATCAGATCCAGCATCTGGTTAGCTTCATCGAAGCGGTTCTCCATGCAAAACCCATATGCTAAAGTATTATATGTAATGGTAGTAGGATCTATGCCTCTTGTGATCATCTCATCGTACAATGTTTTAGCCTCAGTAAGCTTTCCCTCTTTCACAAGACCATCAATCAACGTATTGAAAGTGACAACGTTTGGGGTGATTTCACTTGTAATCATATCTCTCAGCAACTGTGCACCATCATCCCATCTTCCAGCACGACAGAAGCCACCTATGAGAGAGTTGTAGGAAATGACATTTGGTTTGATACCTTTGGTTTCCATTTCATTGAAAAGGCTAAGTGCATCATGGAGACTCCCATATTTGCAAAAACTATCAATGATGATATTGTATTTAGCAGCATCGAGCTTGATCTTTCTATCTTCCAACTTTCTGAGCAGATCCAAGGCCAAGGCAGTGTTCCCTGACTTACACATTCTGTTCAAAATAGGACCATAGGTAACTTCACTAGGTTGACATCCCTTTTCCACCATTCGATCAATCAAAGCAATGGCTTCAGAGAGTCTATCTTGGAGACAAAGCCCATTGACAATAGTGTTGAGTATAATAAGATTTGGAATGACCTTCATTTCCACCATACGATCAACTAATTCGACAGCTTGAGAAACTAGACCCTTGAGACATAAACCATTTATCAAAGTTGAGAATGTAATTGTGTCTGGCTCATACCCAAGCTTCAAAATCTTTCCCATAGCAGAAAAAGCAAAACCTAGTCTACTACGACGGCAGAAGCAATTGATTGTAATGTTGAGAGTGTAGAGATCATACGCAATCCCTCCTTTCAGTTCCATTTGCTTGCAGAGACCTAACACTAGATCATACTGTTTTGTTTTAGCAACTAAACCAAACAATCTGTTGAAATCTATCACTGTAGGAAGTGGACGAGACCGAATCATGGACTGAAACAGAGCAACAGCATCATCCTTCTTGATATCGACGACACCACTGCTCAATCTCTCTTTGTACGAGAGAACAGAGAAGGCGGGAGAGAAGATACATAATGCGATTCTCGGAGGAACCAATGCGAAAGCTTTACGATGAAGAGGAATCAATCTTCCCATCATCATCTTCCTTTTTCTTAGGCCACGAAAGACGATGGCTTCTGCGTTTTTTCTCTGCTTGCTATAGGTTGGTTTATTTATTTATTTCCATTAAACCTTTAAATGCTCATTTTTAGGAAAAAGAAAGGAAAATACAATAAAATAAAGAAACTATAAATCCCTTATATATTATTTGAGAAGCATTACAACATGTTTTGGTAGCCACGTGTCATCATGAGAATGCTTCTCAAATTTACTAGAGAAAAATGTTGGTCCATATAAACATATAATATACTTTTTATTAAACTAAACATAAACTATTATTATTGCTTTTCATTATTTCCTTAAATAAAATTTACGGAATTACCTAATAT